AATTGCCCTTGCTTGTATCTAGCGGAGATAAGGCTCTAAGGAAACATCTCCTCTTGGTCCCGAATATTTTCTACCCTTGATATGAATATAGTGCCAAGCCTTTTGAATCTATTCCTTAGCTTCCTTGTGATTCCTTAGCTTCCTTGTGATCTTCTCCTTCTTTGAGAAAGAAACCACTCAGATGAATTTTGCTTGGCTTGTCTCTCATTGGATATCCAAGCTGGCAGCGTGCAAGAACAAGATTATAGTTAATTCCTCCCTTTGTACCAAGAAGAGGCACATTGGGAAAAACATCACAACTATCGATAATCTTCACATCATAATAAGCTTGATGATACCAATCAATGTCAGAATGAGTGAGAGCCATAATCTTCAGTGCCCAACGTGATTCCTTCTTGATATCCCAAAAAGTAGTAGACTGAGGTAAGTGAGAAATAAACCACTAATATAACAACGGTGTGCAACAAATGATCATCCATTCCTAATAGAAATTCCGAAGATGGATGGAATAATAAGTATCTCCTAGCAGTGTAGAGACAAGGTTCCCAATCAGAAAGATCCTAATGGCATTAACATCCACATTTATCGACGTTAGGAAACAAGAACAACACATATGCAAGCAAAGCAAAGATAGCCTCAAAAGCAGTTGTACTCTTCATCTCAGACTTCCTCAAGTGAGTTACTGCTGCAATCTCATGAGACTTGGGCTCTCCTTCTAAGCCAGTGAACAGAACATAATCAGTAATAGGTAAATTAAGTAAGTAAGAATACTCCTCTAATGTGGGAATCAACTGATAATTAGGAAAAATAAAACACTGGTATAATGGATTATAGAACTGAACCAATGTAGAAAGAATACTCTCCTTCATCTTGAGCTTCATAAGAGGCATAATGGATCTATACTTCTTCCATAAATCTGTAGGACTCTTAATCTCAGGAATCAAACTCGTTAGTTCCTCTATCTTAGGATCCTTGAAATTGTACTTTCAAGTCTTTCTCCTTCCAAAATCCATGGTCAAAAGAGTACCTGAGATATTTGCAAAGGCCAACCTTAAGTTCCTTGAAAAATCGTTTAAAGAATGCTCATGGATGCATGAATGCATGATGATGCAACAATCACACACAAGATCACAAACACGGGGGTCTATAGGTTCGACATCACGAGCATGAAGTCAAAGGTACTACCCACAAGGTAAGGACTAATGGTTTATCACCTGCTGAACAAGGTACTAAGGAAATCCCATAGCCTACTTTCTTCCTTCGAATATTAACAACATTCTGATTAGCTCAGTAATTAACAATATTCTCAAGAAAAAATTGTCTGAGTGCAGCATTGCGTGATAACTACTTCGAGATTGCTCCATTATAGTCTACACACTACACATAAAAGGACAAGATAGGTTAATGATTCTATGGCTTCTCAGCTTCGCGAGCTCCCAGGTCAAAATCAACAATGTTTTCTCGATTGCTCGGTAAACAAATACTACAATAAAAAGGGCCTCTAGTGAGTGAGGGATCTCATGTCTCCTTTTTTAGGATTCCTCCCTCAAAGTTAACATGACTATATCGTCCGTCCTACCTTAAGTTTGCTCAAGTTCGGGTATAGGACTTATAAGAGATCACCAAGCACCCTGAAAACCAGAAAAATCCAGATATACATATATACAACAAATAATATACAATAAATAATAACACATACATAGATAAACAAAGATATGCTCAACCCACTTAGAGAATTTCTTGTCCCCAGTGAAGTCGCCACTTTTCTCTAACGGTAGAAATGTTGAGACTAAGCCATTGGATTGACTTAACTAGTACAAATCAAATAAAAATAATCATCGCGCTTTATTGTTTCCAAAGAAAATGGGAAAATAGCGAATAAACCAAAAAAAAAAGTGGGGGATAATCTAGATATGGAGGATGGTTATGCAAAAGGAAGGTATTAACACCCTAAACATCTACAGTACTCCGCAGGAACCTCTTTGAAAATCTGTGTATTTTGGCTATAAAAAGGTGTATACAAAAATAGATGGTGGAAATGAGAAAAGAAGTATTTTTTTACAATTTTGCACTCGTCGCGATTGCGAACCTTTAGTGCCTACATACCACCTTTTGTGTAATAGGGGATCAAGGTACACATAGTTCACCTCAAAAAATTTAAAACACATATGTGTTTGTTAATTTTAAGAGAAGAGACATCATCGTCATATCCGAGTGGAAAATATACTTACTACCCACAATTATGAGAAATGAGCATTTGCGTCATCTCAAAGTGGAGGATATAACTTGGACTTAAAATCCATCACCAACACCCAAGTGGAAAATGACTCTCTTCACTACATATCATAGAAGTATAGTAGCTTACGTCACTACAAGAATCGACAAGAGTCTAATCTTTTGAGAAATTTTTTTAAAGTAAAAAGTCAAAGTGGAAAAATGGTTTGAATGAGGTTAATTGACTTTTAGTCTTGAGAAAGATGTCAAAGTATGATTAAACTGATTAAAGTTTGATTAAGAAAAGATTTTTGAAAATGCATGGACCTAAGTCCAAATTTATTATGAAAGCGGTTCAAGTTAGAAAACAAGAAGAATTTTGAAAAGGAGGGAGAAGATTTTTGAAATTAAAGAAGATAGGAGGAGATGAAGGGACTATCCTAAAGCATAAGGTAAAAGCTAAAAAAAAGAACGATCTAACCAACAAGAAGCCAACACTTGACATAAGAAGTCAATGCAAAATTCTCATCCTTTGGATTAAAACCTAGCAAACAAAAATACTAAACCTCTGAGGAATACCAAGCTTTAGATGAATTAAGAACCAATCAAAGTCTTCATTAATAAAAATTGGCCAGAGTAACAACTGTATACAAAGGAATTCTCAATCACCGACAATATATTATGTCCATATGCATCAGTCTGCAATCATAAATACCATTAAGTATCCCAAGCACCATCCATGTGCGAAACCATATCCACATATCCCAAACAACAGATATTCCCATATCCACATAATCAAACCCACTTATAACATCAACTATTCAATATTTAGATCCATGTATAAAACCAGAAGAGCATAGTTTCTTTCTCTCAAACTAAACCACATATAAAATTACATACCTATAGGCAATAGCAGAAACACGGAGAATTATAAGTGTTCTCAAAAGCTTCAATCAATTTCTCCCGTTCAATAACCGGAAACATCTGATCTCTAAAACCTGGAACAACAACAAAAATATCAACAACAACATAATCGCCAGAGTTTCATAGATCTAAGTAGAAAACGATTAAAGTAATATTTTTGTTTGAAGAAAAGGTAGAGAAAAAGAAGAAGAAGACGAGAGAGAAAGCGGAAGATAGCAAAAGAGAAGAGGAAGAGAGAAGAAAGAGGAAAAGAGAAGAAAGAGAATGTGACTTTGTATTTTGGAAAGCATAAATTTTGTTTCAAAAGCATTTGTAATAGAAAGTAGTGGATAGAAGGAGAAGGTTACAGTTCAGAAGAAAAGTGACTTGACCTTTTCACAAACCAACAATAGTCAACATTGGGAAGGTGAGAAAGTTCTCATTTGATTTCATCTGAAGTAATAATTGATAATTCAAATGTAATTGAATAACGAAAATACAACAAATTGAACAAAGAAGAAGTAGTTAAAATTAGACCAAATAAGAATTTTGTTAGAAAAAATAAATTTTAGACTTAAATTAATCCCAAAATCAATAGGGATTGATTTTTTAACAAAAGACAAATTAGAGATTTCTAAATATATTTGCTTTCTTATATTATAGATAATTCAACTTTTAAATTGCAATTCATTCATTCATTTCATAACTGTTATCAAGTCTACACAACAATGGAAGACCATGTCATCATGTCTTTAATAAATACAAGATTAGTGTTATTGTTTTTCCCAACATTAAGGTGTTTCTTAGGTACTCATCAACAAAATATAATTACCTCATACCACAAAGTTGTAGGCGTTTGAGCACCACATGCCATCATTACTATTGCTGGGAGATAATATGCAAGCATTTGAAATGAGGTTTAGTATTAAAAGAAAGAAGACAATTAAAATTAAGCTTGATGACTTTGTGGCATGAAGCATGAAAGAAGAAATCTTGTTATTGATGTTTGGGGATCGACCCGCCCATGTGTGTCAAAAATTTATAATTTTAAACAATTAATTTTCAAAGTTTTTAAAAAAGTGATATATAATAAAAAAATTAATAAAAATGATTTGAAATAAATATTGCAGATGGAGCAGTGACACATCATCAAATAGGCTACTATATCATTAATATTTTATTTTAAATTAGAAGGGAGACTAAAATTAAAAAAAATAAAATAAAATTTAGGGACCAAAAATCCAAATTTTAAAATAGAAGGATCAAAACTCAAAAAAATTGAAAAAAAAAAGAGACCAAAATTACAATTCATAAACCACTTAACATGTAATTGGTTTAGTGCGAGTATGCTCCGTAGCAAAATATACAATGAGTAAGAAAATTGATATATTTAGTCTAAAATTTAGATCAAATATATAAAATTTATTTATTTCATTTTTCCTCAGAGTGCACATATTTGTATAAGTTGTATGGAAAATTATGATATTGCATTTACTGTATGTGTTTGGATTAACAATAAATTTGAAATGTTTCTATTAACAAGACAAAAGCCATGTGCAAAATTATGGTAGTATAAAAGATAACATTTTAAAACTTGAACAAAATCAGACACACATGCATTGAGAAGCACTCAAATGAGTGATTACAGCTGATTCAAATAAGCACTTATCATTGTTACACTTATCTCTTGTACTCACTTACATATTCACAGAATGATAGAGCCTGATGAGAAAGATGTTGGAATGAGAACAGAAACACTTCTGTTACTAACATTTTGACATGAAAATCAGTACAACAACTCAGTAACTATGCATGTCATTGAATAATTTGGCTCATGAATATAGAAAACACTATCTTTGTATATATTCCAAAAATTTACTCTTTTACTTATGAAGAGGAGAAGCTGATGAACTTAGATTAGAAGTACCTTCTGCACTTAAAGATTCATTGACTCTTTTTCCATGTTTTAAACCACTACTACCTGAGCTATGGCCATCTGTTTTGTCATTAGAATCCTGAAGTTGTTCCAACGATCTTACCACCTCGTCAATATTTGGTCTATACTTTTGTTCTGCCGACAAGCATAGAATTGCAATGTGAGCTACTTTCACTGCTTCACGCAACGAATACTGGCCTTCTATACGAGCGTCCATGACTTGAGAGATCTTGCGTTTGCTCACGAGTAATGGTTTGGCCCACTCGACTAAATTATGCTCCCCAGAAGGCCGGTTTGTATCCAATGTGCGTTTGCCTGACATAATTTCCAAAAGAACAACTCCAAAACTGTATACGTCACTCTTTTTGGTTAGGTGACCTTCACAACAAAACAAAAACAGAAAAAAAAAGGTTAGGCGTGAAATTATAGGCCGAATAAAATTGATTTTGAGCGAACTGATTTTAGTTAAAAATGAGTTGAATGTAAAATGATTTTGTCTGTATACATCAGCGAAAAAGACTGAGATACCTGTGGCTAGATACTCGGGAGCTGCATAACCTGGGGTGCCCATTATCCTTGTAGATACGTGGCTCTTACCGCCTTCTGGTCCATCTTTTGCCATCCCAAAATCAGAGAGTTTTGCATTATAGTTCTGTTATCAACAAACACGAATTTTACAAAACAAATCTGATGAGTAACCTCTTATCCCCCGCTAGCAAGATCAATGTAATAGTCCACTTACAGAATCAATCAAGATATTCGAAGTTTTGAAGTCTCGATATATCACTTCGACTTCATCACTATGAAGAAATGCAAGACCTTTAGCAGCATCAAGAGCTATCTTCATTCGGATTTTCCATGAGAGTGGCTGAAAGTAAGAAGCCCCTGCTCCATAAACATTAGATAGATATGAGATTTTGAGGAGTTTAATATACTAACTAGTAAATGAAATCAACTTCTAAAATAAACGAGACGATAATCGATAGAGGGAAATTAATAACATACTTCTAAACAAATGATTATCCAAACTTCCCTTGGTTATAAATTCATATACCAAAATCCGGTAATCATCCTCTAAGCAGTAACCAATTAGTTTCACAAGATTAGGATGACGCAGTTGTCCCAGATAATTGATTTCTGTCTATAAAGTACAAGGTTGATATTAAAACAACGACACCGAATCAAAAGAAAAATAGATACAAAAAACGCAAATAAAGAACGCACAATATTTGATCATGGAATTTGGAAAGAGTCTCTGCAATGATTTTCTATTGAGCCTAAAATGACACTCACCAACCATTCGCTATGTCCTTGACTGCTTTCTTGGTTAAGCCTCTTCACCGCGATGACAAAACCAGTACCTGGTTTAGTCGGAGCAAGTGTATGTTCGTCAATCCAACCCTTAAATACACAACCAAATCCACCTTCTCCCACCATACTATCCGGACGAAAGTTCCTTGTCGCGGTTCTTATCTCATTGATTGTGAAACACTTCAAATTGGGGCATTGCAATATCTCACCCTCAGTTCTAGAACTTAGAAGCAAGTGTGAAGAAGAGGCCTTCCTGCTTATACCACTCAAAACATCCTCTTCTTTCCCAACAACCTTTGAATTCAAACCTGTTTATCTCACAATTAAAACATCTATTAACTTCTTAGCCCTTATTATAGCAACAATTTTCTGTGAAGCACAATTACACAGACATGGACACCGAACACATCACTGGTAATCATTTGAAAAAATGGATAAATTGATAGTAATCACACACGGACACAGACAAACATTTTTTCAGAGGTGTCGGTGTTACAGAGAAGATTTTTCTACCAATAAGTTATATAGTTATATAGTTGTCTTTTACATTGATAATTTTTCTATAACATTATTGAAACTACGTAATACAATTGGATCTAACAAGTGCAAAGTTTATTCATATATGAAACACACATATTGAATCAATCCAACGATCTTTTACCAACTAGAGTTCAGATACAAGTTGATCAAGTATGAAAACTAAAAAAATAAAAGGGAAAAATAGAATAAGAATGATACCATTATTATGTGTAGGACTCTCAGCTTTGACCTTGGCACTAAAGCAACAACCCATCAACATAGAACTGTTGGAACCTTTATTCTTTGTTAATTTTCAGTGGAAGGAGAAGATCAACTACAAATTGTTGATAGAGAGAAGTTTTCATAAGCGAGGCTTTGGAAGAGAAGAAAATCAAAAACACACACGTGCGAAAACTAGTATTTTTCAACGTGTGAAAGCTAGTTGTCAGTGTCACCCGAGGACATAAGTGCAAATTCAACACCAATGTTGTTGTGTAATTATGGTAATACTTAATAGGTAGGTGTTGAAAAGTAGTATGTGGAGTGTGTGAATGGGGTTCTTTAAAAAAAAAATTTGTTTGACCATTGAGAAAAGGGAATGAGAACATGTTTATCCTGGTTGGTAGTTTAAAAAGATGCGACAGACAAACCGCATAATACTAGCTTATTATTATTTATTTATTTTTATGCTAAAGGAGGGGGAAAGCATAGTAGTTAAATATGTATTTTGACCTAATAAAATTGATAAAAATACATATGAGTTTTATTTTTTTCTTTCTTTCGCACTTTGATTTCTTTTGCACTCTGGTTCCGCACTCTGATTCCTAGAGAAATAGGATCTTAGTAGTTTAGAGTTGTGTCGAGAGATCATGACACCGATTAAAAAATGGTTTCATCAGAAATCAAATTTAATATTCCTCTTGAACCTTCATTCTTTAGCCGAAACTCGTTTACCACTCGAACCCATGCACTTGATTTACCAATGAGTTTTATTAATAGAAGGAGGTGGACTCTAATAATGAAAAATGTATCAATATTTAATAAGTAATAATATTTCAAATAACTTGTTTATATTTAGGTTTTTTTTTGTGTTAAAAATAACAGTTGACTTATAAGTTAGCTGATAGTGTATAATTTATGATTGATGTTTGATGTTTGATGACTGATAACTTATAACTGATAGTTGATGACGTATACAATAGATGATAAGCTAATTGAAGTATTTGGTAAAAATTAACAGTTAAATTTGTTGATAAATTAAAATGATATAAAATATACTTAATATATAATTATTTTATTTTAAATTAAGTTAAATTATAAAGGATAATAGTGAATTTTAGTTAAAATAATAAGTGTAAAATTGAAAAAAATAAAATAAGTTATAAGCTAAAAACTAAATCACTATTTAAAATAGTGTCTGAAAAATAAGTTATAAGCTTTAACATGTTATTATAATAAGCTATAAGCCTTAACATGTTGCTTGATATCTTTGATTTAGATGTTTAAAGTGAAGTTACTTCCTTTTGAAGATGTGTGTCAATCTTACTTGTTAGTTTGATTTGATATCTTTGTCATTGCAATTGGTTGTGTCTTTGTTAGGGCAGAATAGAACCTAATGCATGTTTAGGGTTACAACTTGAAGTTGTTTGAGTTACTTTCCTTTTGAAGACTTATTGATTAGTAAATCATGTCTACTTGCTTAGATGTTGTCTTTTGTTAACCTTAGAGTTTTAAGTCTGAATCTTCTTGACATGTGATAGTACTTTTCTTAGGGACTAGTTTTGATTTGTGAATCCTATCTTAATGCTATGTTTTGATCACATGATTTGATGTTGCTTTGGTTGTTACCTAAAAGCTTATGCTAGATGATTTGTTTACCTATTGCTTGTTTAAGTATCTTTTGTTTGCTTTGAATCTTGTTAGGCTTAAGTTGTGTTTGTTTAAGTCTTGTTTGGTTAAATATGACTTATCTTGAGTCTTCATTAAGTACTTGAGATGTTTATTAATTGTTACCTCTAAAGTTTGAAGTTAACTTGTCTTAAGTCTTGTTAGGCTTAGAATGTCTCTTCTTAGTTTGAAGTCTTGCTTAATTAAGGGTGACTTGTCTTGAGTCTTGATTAAGTACTTGGGATTTATTGTGGATGGTCACCTTTGCACTTTGAAGTTGTTACTTGTGCGCTTGCTTTATTTGATAACACGCACCCTTAGGTCATTGTGAAGAAAGATGAATATATTTTCTATGAAGATGTTGGAATGTTCATTAATTGTTCAACAATCATATGAGAAAACTTAAAGTAATAAGTTTTGAGTGATCCAAATTACTGTCAAATGGTGAAGAGTTATCCCATTTTAAAGATGCATATGTTTAAGCAATAAAGTAATTAATCATTGCTAGACAGGAAGACACAATCAAAGATAATCAAAACATGTTCCATTGTACCTTAGTTTATATCCTGTTAATGAGTGTCTGAGAATTACTCTCCATACATGCAAAGGAAGACGTATCCAATTATATTTTGTTTTGATCATATTGTGCTTTATCTTAAGTTTTGTGTACTAACCATTTCTTGTGCAGAAGTTAAAACCTAAATCATCAAATTAGTATAATCGTTCCACTCTCCTCCGCCTTGTATTAGTGTACCTTTAATTATTTGTCGATATTTTCTTGTTCGATGTTTTTTGTGATAAACTACATACACAAAATTTCATTGGCCCGCGTCATTAAAATTAGTACATGTTTGCTATGTATGCATGATATATTTCATTCATTTTGAATTTTATATTCATTCGTATTGTTTTGTCATCTAGATCATTTCATTCATTTGAATTTTTGTGTTTTGACATTCATTGACATCAAAGTTTATTTTTTCATTTAAATATCTTGCATCAAACATATTATTAATTTCTTGTGCATAACACTCTTCATTCATTCATGCATCATTAAAATTGTTTTTCATCTAGTATTAACCTTTTTAGCATATTCATTAAAATACTTTGCCATTTAAAAATCTCACTTACCATTTTTTCAATTTCATCAAAGCTATTTCAATTTCAATTTCATCAAACACTATAGATTCGGGACCCTATAACATAGACGCAGGAGGCAAAAGTAGATCATAAACTGAACATGATTAAAGTTGCCTATTGTACATTCCTGAATATTTTACCGGAGTCAGGTTGTGTGACAAGGAATCAAAGTCAAATTTTGACGATACTAAGCTGATTCAGGTATGAGATAGTCATATAAGAATGTACTCGGATAAATCTGAGTAAGAAATCGGTAAGAGCCATCACTAGAGACATGCCCGGATAACAACCTGGCTATAGCCGGCCAGGGTGATAGTTGGATAGGTGCTCGGGCAGTAAAGAGCTGTTACAAGTTAGTCGATCCATAAAGAATGTAACTGTGCGTTAAATGATTGAATAAACATTACATTTCTTTATCGGTGCAAATGATGCAATAAAGTGGTCGTTACAACCCATTGAATGAGGGGACTCTAAGAGGCACATCTCTTACGAAGATAAGCCTGTATATAAGGGTCATCCAGCATGGAGAAAAGGGAGGCAAAACACTGATACGCTTAAATAACACTATAATATAGAGATATAAAGGGGTTCCTACGAAAGGGATAAGCAAGACACTTTTCTTAGATCAATATGAGTCATAATCATAGCACCAAAATCCCCCTAAAATCACTACAAAAATCTACCAATTGCAACTCTGCTTATATCTATAGAAAAACTATTCGTTTATTGTTCATACGCAAGAATATTTGACACCCACATTGAGACTATTGGTAAAACTTTCCCAGACACCCGTAACATACCTGAAGAGTCACCTTTTTGCTATGTGATTCACGTTGAAACCATGGTCTCACCATAACAATATCAGTACCGTTCCCATGCATCAAGAATCATTTTCCCTCTAGGCCACCGTCGGTGACACTGGTCATTAGCGTGAGCAAGTTTCAATAAAGTGTGACGCAGAGATGAATTTGGGAACACCGTCTATATACTCAGGTTGCAGTGCATCACATACGCCATCACTGGCAAGGCTCGGAGCATCATCCGAAGAGAGATCAGCATTCCGGCGAAATAGAATCTGGAGATTATCGGTTGTTTCCCATTGATCTTTCCAGTTTTAGGCGACAATACGTCCTGTGAAGCTCATCCTCACTACACTGTTGGGGCGATAGTTTTTACCCAGATAAGTTTCTTATTTGCATTCGACTGGGTTTTAAATCCCGTGATGACTTTAAGATGTTAACGTTGGAAATTGGCTCTGATACAAATCTTAATGCGTGTGATGTAATTGTTAATGTTGCTGCTAATTTCTCTTATAGTAACAGTCATACTTATCATCAAGATGAAATCGTTTCCGACGCAGTATCAGGCTGAGGCAATCCCCCGGATCAGTATCTTAAGCGTGAATCAAGTTTCGCGGTGGTTTCCAATGGGAAAACAATATCTGCGTTGGAGGAGGCTAAAGTAGCGGTTATTTATGATCGTGTCAAAGCTCTGCTTACAAAGCATTCGATGAAATGCCAAAGCAAAAATCAAGGTCATTCCTCAAGGGCTCAGAAAGAAACAAAGTGTGGGCCTTGAAGGACTTCGGTCGGGCTAATATCAAAATGTTGCTCAATTGCTGCTTGAATTTTGGGATCGTACCATCAACACTCGTTCACAGGTAACTCGCATATACTCGATCTATGAGGCAATATGTAAACTCATTACACATTGCACTGGTTATTCGTAAGAGCATTTATGTCAATTACCAGTTTTAACATAGTGTGACTTCTGTTTTCGATCATACGGTTTAAGCCATGTCTAAACTAATGCAACCACAATTCTGGTTCTGGATTTGATTAATGCATGTCACAGGTAAACGGGAACACCTTCATCAAAAGGGCCGAAGTTGTCATCAATGGGCCAAGAAGCCCGTTGAAGAAGCCACACTGACTGTCAATAGGAAAAAGTCGACTGGAGTACGAGTGTCTATATGATACAAAGGCTGCGAGTCTCATTTGTGTACAATTATGATGCTTGAGCACGGAACCGGGAGAAGATTGTGCATGCCGCTGGCGTCTGTCCTAGCGGTTTACTGATTCCGACGGCCTCCATTCAGATTCCAGTGATAGATAAGGAGCGAAACAATATTACTTGCAGTGAAATATCGAGGCACCAGGAGTCAGAACGTTAGCACAAACGTCGGCTACACAAAGTGAAGAATCCACACCGGAGCAACAATTGAACTTTTATGCCGTAATTACAAAC